GGAAACCAAAAGCAAATGTTAAAACATATAAATATTTAGAATTTATTTTATTATGATGATCGAGACACTGTTAGGCTTCCAAACTGCTTTAACATTGTAAATATATCAATAAAACATTGCCCAACTGCTCTCTCTCTCTCTCATTTTAATTGTGGAAGAACATGGATTTTGGGGTATTTTAAAGAGTCAATTTTGGATTGTTTTTTATCAGAGATTTTTTAGTTTTTAAATAGGGAACACCAGGTTTCTTGCTAGCGAGGCAAGTGGCAGGGCCCAGGTTGAGGAGCCTGTTCAGGGCTGGCACCTGGGACCCAGCTGGTGGTGGCTGACCTCCTGGCCACTTGGGGCCAGGAGAAAATGCTTCGACAGTTCAAAGCAAGCCACCGCACCAAGAACATCTTCCGGGCAATAGCTGCCCAGAGGGCAGGGCGGCAGTACACATGGCAGTAGTGCTACACAAAGGTCAACTGTGCAGCCACAGCCAATTGGCAGCTGGTCCAGAGGTGCAGTCCCCCTCCAGATCTGGCAGGTGTACAGCCTTGGGGTCACATGCTGTCACAGGTGGCAGGTCATAGCCAGGAGGCAGCCCCCACTGCCAGACTGCTGCAGTGGGTAGAAAGTGCAGGGAACTCTTGGTTATGGTTGCTTCAGCAGTCCAGCTGGGACAAGGGGCTAATGTCCCCTGATACCAATTGGCCAGGCCCCAGAAGCTCCTGACTATCTGTATCACCCAATTATCGTGGGCCCTGAGACCCACACAGCTAACTAATAGCTCCTATTGTATGGGGCCGATGGATGGATGACAACAAAATACTTGGGACAACTAATGAAAAAAAGAGTTTTGGAGTGTCACGTGGGTCAAAGGGTCAAAAATGTGAAAATAAGTGCGCCTGAGGGGGACACTGAGCAGAGCCTCCCAGGCTGCTCCCACCGGTCCTCAAAAGCATCCAAGGAACCGATGGACGCTGCCCACTGGTGCTCTGCCTGGAGATGTGCATGGACAAGTGAGAGGAAAGTGGCCTCACAGTCTCCGGGCACCTTCCTGGCCAGAGCCTCCTTCCTGGTCAAATACAAGGCCCACTTGGCCAGGGCCAGGAAGAAGTTGCCAGGAGGTCCCAGGACTTGTGGGGCCACAGATGGGTTGACCAAAAACAAAAGGTGGGGGTTGAAATTCAACCAGAACCTCAAGTGGAGGCTCTGGAGGTGGAGGGGCTGCAGCCTTGCACACTCAAGGGTCATGTGCACCAGGGTCTCCCTCTGCCCGCAGAAGGGGCAGGAGACCGGGGTGTCCATGAAGCTCACCACATACACAATCGTGGCGATGGCTCTACGGAGGAGCTGCCAGCTGAGGTCCCCAGTGGCTCGTGGGATGAGGGTGGAGTACAGACTCAGCCACTGGGGTGCCCCAGCCATGCCCTGGCTGAGCAGGTCTTGCCACTTGGTGTCTGGACGGGATGCAAGGGTGGCATGATGGATAGTGCAATGCACGAGCATGTAGAGGTGGCAGCGATAGACGGTGGAAAAGCGGAACGGTCTGGTGTCCTTCAGCCGGCTCAGGTGGTGGAGCAGGGAGTGCCGTGAAGCCAGGTGAGGTGCCGGCGCCACGACAAATTCCAGGGGGCTGGAGAACACCGGGGGGGGCAGGACCACCACCACCCCAGAAGTTCCTGAGAGCAATTAGCCCTGAGCTGCTTGCCATAGCAGCTTTTTATACTGCCAAGACCAGCACAGGGCAGGTTTTTATACTGCTGGGACCAAGCTCTAGCTCCTCCTGGCTGCAAATCTGGCTGGAGTACTGTGTTCAGTTCTGGGTGCTGCACTTCAGGAGGGATGTGGACAGAATTGAGAGGGTCCAGAGGAGTGCCACCCGCATGATCCGGGGACAGCAAGGCAGACCCTATGAAGAGAGGCTACGGGACCTTAACCTGTTCAGCCTTCACAAGAGAAAGCTGAGGGGGGACCTAGTGGCCGTCTATAAACTCACTAGGGGAGACCAGCAGGGTTTGGGAGAGACCCTGTTCCCCCTAGAGCCCCCCAGGGTAACAAGGAATAACAACCACAAATTGTTAGAGAGTAGGTTTAGACTAGACATCGGAAGGCACTACTTCAGTCAGGGCGGCTAGGATCTGGAACCAACTTCCAAGGGAAGTGGTCATGGCTCCTACCCTGGGGGTCTTTAAGAGGAGGCTTGACATCTACCTGGCTGGGGTTATTTGAGCCCGGTTTTCTCTCCTGCCCAGGCAGGGGGTCAGACTTGATGATCTACAAGGTCCCTTCCGACCCTACTTCTATGAATCTATGAAAATCCGAGAGGAGCTGGGCAGGGCTATTTTACCCCAAGTGGCACAACTGACAACTGACGCCCAGGAAAAAGCCAACCTATTAAATAGGTACTTTGCGTCAGTCTTTCATCAGCCCCACGGGCCCGAAGACTGGAAGAAGGCCAATGTGGTGCCTATCTTCAAGAAAGGGAGGAAAGTGGATCCGGCTAACTATAGGCCCATCAGCCTGACTTCTATCCCGGGGAAGATCTTAGAAAAGTTTATTAAAGAGGCCATCCTTAATGGACTGGCCGACGCCAACATCTTAAGGGATAGCCAGCACGGGTTTGTTGCGGGTAGGTCTTGCTTGACCAATCTCATTTCCTTCTACGACCAGGTGACCTATCACCTGGACAAGGGAGAAGAGATTGATGTCATATATCTTGACTTCAAAAAAGCCTTCGATCTGGTGTCCCATGATCGCCTCTTGGAGAAACTGGCCAATTGTCGCCTTGGGTCCTCCACGATCCGCTGGCTGGAAAATTGGCTCCGGGGTCGGACCCAGAGGGTAGTACTCGATGGAAGTCACTCATCGTGGTGTCCTGTGACCAGTGGGGTCCCCCAAGGCTCTGTCCTTGGACCCATACTGTTCAACATCTTCATTAATGATGTGGACACTGGAGTCAGAAGCGGACTGGCCAAGTTCGCCGATGACACCAAACTTTGGGGCAAAGCATCCACACCAGAAGACAGGCAGGTTATCCAGGCTGACCTGGACAGGCTCAGCAAGTGGGCGGACGAGAATCTGATGGTGTTCAACGCCGATAAATGCAAGGTTCTCCACCTTGGGAAAAAAAACCCGCAGCATCCTTATAGGGTCGGCAGTGCTATGTTGGCTAGCACTATGGAAGAAAGAGACTTGGGGGTCATCATTGACCACGAGATGAACATGAGCCTGCAATGCGATGCGGCGGCTAGTAAAGCGACCAAAACGCTGGCTTTCATCCATAGATGCTTCTCAAGCAAATCCCGGGACGTCATTCTCCCCCTGTACTCGGCCTTAGTGAGGCCGCAGCTGGAGTACTGTGTCCAGTTTTGGGCTCCACAATTCAAAAAGGATGTGGAGAAGCTTGAGAGAGTCCAGAGAAGAGCCACGCGCATGATCAGAGGTCAGGGAAGCAGACCCTACGATGACAGGCTGAGAGCCCTGGGGCTCTTTAGCCTGAAAAAGCGCAGGCTCAGGGGTGATCTGATGGCCACCTACAAGTTTATTAGGGGTGACCACCAGTATCTGGGGGCACGTTTGTTCACCATGGCGCCCCAAGGGATGACAAGGTCGAATGGTCACAAACTACTTCAAGATCGTTTCAGGCTGGACATAAGGAAGAATTTCTTTACTGTGCGAGCCCCCAAGGTCTGGAACAGCCTGCCACCGGAGGTGGTTCAAGCGCCTTCATTGAACACCTTCAAGATGAAACTGGATGCTTATCTTGCTGGGATCCTATGACCCCAGCTGACTTCCTGCCCTTTGGGCAGGGGGCTGGACTCGATGATCTTCCGAGGTCCCTTCCAGCCCTAATGTCTATGAAATCTATGAACTTGCCCCACACCAAAGTGTGTATCCAGGCATGTGTGCCAAGGCAAAAATCCCTGGTTCAAATTTGTGCTGCTCCTATTTGAGCTTCTGTAAGTGCATGTGCCTGCATGTGTGGACGCGCCCACAGAGGTCAACTATATTCAGGGGTATAGGACTGACCTCAGAGAACCATGGTAAAATTTAAGTAACCATGCTTCCAAAGTATTTTTTTTTTTAAATTTGGGTCAGTTATTTATCTTAAACCCGAATACATAAATAAAACATCGTTTTAGTAGGAAGACCAAGCCAGAAAGGCTTCAGTGTGCTGTTATAACAACTGTATGAAATGCTTAGAACCAGGAGTTATAAAATTTTGCATTTTTCAATGAAAGTATTCTAAACAAAAATTTTCACTACTATTTAAAATTGTCATTAAAATGACATTGCCACTAAAAATGAAAAAAAACAGAATCTAAATTGAAATGGGAATAACAGTCATTGCTGTTTTTTTTTTGCTAGGGAAGAAGCCTCTTATAATAATGAGTGAGAAATGTTCCTAACCAATAAGTCAATTGCTTTGAGCAAAATTTTTAACAGAAATAAAGCTAGATTTCTCAAATCAGCTCTAATAAATAAAAATGTGATAAAATGTACATTTTAGCATATTGTGGGACAGGATTATGAATTTGGATGTTTCTAATTATTTAAAAATAACTCAAATACAATTTAAAAGTAGCGGGAAAGTTGGCTCCACTCAGACTGAAACATTCAAAACTTTAACTGTTATACATGCTGGCAGTAGTAAAACCATTAATTTGGAACACCAAGTAATAGTTTGTTCCTGTGTACAGAGAAATTTAAATATTGGGTTTCAACTTTTAACCTAAATTGGATATAGACAGGATTACTGTTTCAACCAGAATGGGAAATGTATATTCATAATGCTTTATTATAAAAAACAATCTCTTCTGAGCAGACATACTTGTGTTTATTGGTACCATTCTTATAGTTCTTGCTTTCAATTTATTTTAATGAATCTACAGAGATTTTTATATAATAAGCTCATTCATAAACATTAAATTAGCTGTATACAAGCTGAAAAATTGTTTGATAAAATTCAATCTAACATAAGATAGAGAACAAAATACTAGTGTGTACATTACCTTAGCATTCTCAAGTAGTACATCATTTCTACCTAAACCGGGTCCTATGACAATTGAATGCAGTCGTGGTAACCACTTTTCCACTTCATGAACAGCATTAGGACTGTCACTAAATTAAAGAAAAAGAAGTAAAAAGAGATTTACTTTCAATACTCTAGAAGTCCAAAAGATCAGTGTATGGTCAAAGGAAGCACAGGGGGGGGTGGGGGGTAATGTTTCTCTATAATATATATTTTAATAATTTGGGGGGTAACAAGACACAGCAAGAGAAACATCTTTTAGAATTGACCTGATGTCAATCCAGGAACATGGCTCCTACTATTTTAGTCACACAGTGCATTTCCCATGCCTTACTGGACTCTGGGTTTAAACCCAAGCAGAATAAAGTTATTAACTATAAAGTCCCATGTTATTAAAGAAAGGGGAAAAAAAACCCCTACATCAAGAACAACTTTTCTGTTTAGGTCTCTCTTTGGAAAGCTTTTAACGTAATACCTTTAAGAATTCTTCTGTGATGAAAACTCTTCTCTAGTTAAATGAATCCCAAGATAATACTATTTCCCAATATCAGCCCTACCAGATCTCATTGTTTTATCAGTAACGGAAATAATTTATAGATGGCATGTGAGAGGGGAGGCAAAAGCCCCCCTGACTCACCCCAGATCCCTTCCCGACGTGCCCCGTTATTTACTGCAGGGACAGCAAAGAGCAGCAGCTGGAGGGAGACTCCGGGGCTGGCTCGGCAGTTCCAGAGCTGCCTGAGTCTGCAAATCAGCAGGCGCAGGGGGCATGGCCTGAGAGAGATGTGAGCTGCTCAAAAAGTAGCTGGGGATGCAACTGGAGGCAGGCAGGGAGGAGGAGAGCTGGGTGCTGGCAGGGAGGTGCGGGCTGAAGATCCAGGGGACACGAACCCCGAGGACAGGAGCAGAAAACCTCATATTTGCCAGGGAATGCTGGCAGGCAAACGGGGGAAACTCAAGCCCCAGGAGCAGAGGAACACCAGGGAGCTCCACCAGAGAGGAGCAGTGCCCGGGGACACCACAAAGGGGAGACAAGGCTCCAACAGAAGCCCCACGTACTGTGGCAGGGAACGGGCCCAAGGGACTGACGACACCCCTGGGCAACACAGCAGTGAGGGAGGCATGAAGGAGCACGGAGCCCATGCAAAGGGGATGAGCAACACTGGCTGGTGGGACCCAGACAGCCCAGCTGCAGGTTAGATGCTCCCAAAAGTGGAAGGGACGTGGGCCCCAGGGAGGCTTCCCTGAGAGGGCCAACAGGGGCCCGGCACAGGGTGGCCATCCCTCCCGAACGCCCAATAGGCAAAGAGGGATGGCTGAGTCCCCAACAAGACCAAAGGCCCTGAGAGACAAGATCCCAGGAGCCCCGTCAGCAGACACTGATCCCTTACATTCAGTTTTCCCTAAGTTACAGTTAACCCCGGATGGGGGTGTGTTTAGTTGCCTAGGCTCCAGTCCAAAGACAAAAATGGCCTTAGAAAGATGGGTGGCTAGAAAGGCCCGACCCTTGAAGGTGGGCGGTGCGGAGGAGATGGGATCATCCAAGGGCAAGACCTGCGGAGAGCAGAGTCTGCCCTGGCCATGGATGCGGTAAGGGCTGGGTAAAGGGGAGGTTGGAGCCTCACAAAGAAACCTAGGGCTGAGATCCCCTCAGACCACCTGCAGCGAACTGCCTCCCAAGAAAAAGAATAAAAACAAAGATGCAGCAGGCGAGTAGGAGCAGCACCCGAACCACTTTGGTGGTGCCGAATTCAGATCTCACCCTGACATCACTGTGGAGCAAGGCACCAGCCAAGGAGGGGCCAAAGCCCTATAACACCTATCAGCGACATGGCATTATAGAACACATTGCATCCTATGATAGCTTGAGTTTCTCCTGGACAACCTCAACAGTTTCTAAATGGGCAAATGTGAGCAACCTTTACTATATTTATTCAAATCCAAGACAACACTGAATTTAAAACAATTCTCTAATTAAATTATATACATGGAAAATGTATAAATTTGTTAAAATCTTCCATGTGTAGAAACTATTCATTGGAGGGGCATCTTAAATTCATTGCCCCCACTGCCACACTGGGGCAAACAATGGCTGGAGGGCAGGGAGTGTGGGAAACAAGTGGCCTAATCTCTGTCCCCTGCCTCTCCCCTAACACCTTGCCCCCTGCTGCCTGTCCCCTCTACCACTTGCCTGTACTCCCTTTGCACCAGGTTCCCTACAGTGTGCCTGTACACACTTGAACTAGACCCCCTACAGTATGTATCCCCTAGCACCTTTATCTCCCGACCACTTACCTTTACCCCTGACCCACTTCACAAACCCAGTGCCTCCCTTGGTGCATGCCCCATGCCCCACAATCTCTGCCCTCCTGCTGTCTTTGCCAATGCCATCTTGACCTCCCTTTCCCTGCTGCCACCATTGCCCCCCCTCCCACCATCTACACTCCAGTTCTGGCTCCACCCCTGAGCATCAAGCAAAGGAACAGATGGTTGTTCTGGCCCCAGTAGGACCACACAGCAGCAGCCGCAGAAATGACAGTTCTGGCCCCACTTGCTATGCGGCCAGAACAACCATGTGCTCCATAGGTGGAGGGCAAGTGGCAGTGGGGGGGGGGCATGTGCAGTGAGGGGCAGGGCAGCAATTATGGCTTTAACTCCAATCCCTACCCTGAGTCAGAGTCAGAGAGGGAACCACAGCAACCACCTGGCTCCTCCCACTCACTTGTACTCAAATCCAAAATGAGAGGCTTTTTGCCCATGTATTAAAATAGAGGGAAAACCTAATCTTGGATTTGAGTAAAGGCATTTCAAGCAGTTATTTAAAAGACCATTCATAATCATCAAAGTAATGCATACAGGCAACCCCCGCTTAATGAGGTTTCGCTATAGCGCTCATTTAAAATACATGCCTAGTTTCACTTAGCATGCAGAGCATTTCGTTATAATGCTCAGCATGGTGGGTGGGGAGAAGCAGTGGCAGCGGCATCATTGTCAAGTTGAATTGGTGTGTGGCAGTCGGTGGGACCCAGGGTGGGGTGGCAGGAGCCCAGGGTCCACTCTAGCACGTGGTGCTGGAGCGGGCGGGGAGAAGCCATGGCAAGAAGGGGTGGGCGGGGGGCCGTGGAGCATAAGCATGGAGCCCAAGCTGGCAGGGCCCAGGGTGGGGTGACAGGAGCCTGGGGTCCACTCCAGCATGTGGTGCTGGAACAGCCAGGGGGCAGGGAGGAATGGCGGTGGCAACGAGAAGGGGTAGGCAGGGAGCGTGAGCACAGTGCCCGGGCCAACAGGGCAGCAGGAGCACGGGGCCCAAGGCCAGGGCTAGCAGGAGTGTGGGGCCTAGGCCAGTGCGAGCCAGCGCTCAAGTACATGCATGCAGTGTCCCCTGCCCTAGGCCACAGTGAGGCCAAGCCTGTGACCCATTCTGCTCCGGGTACGCACTCACCCATGGGGCACGGACACCATTCTGAGCTTCCCCCGCTGCCTTCCTGTTATTAATCCCTGGGCAGGTGGGTCCCTGACTCAGGCCTGCACGAGAGGCAGCTGGGGCTGCACACGTGTGCTGGTGGCCAGCAGGTGCAGGCTAGCAGGGGTGGAACAATGAGGCCAGGAGGAGCCAATGCCTTCCCTGGCAGAGCCCGTGCAGTGCCTTGCTGAGACTGGCAGGGCCAGGGCTGGCCAGTGGTGCAGAACCAATTATATTTATTTACATTAAACCCTATGGGAAAATGGGTTTCGCTTAACGCTGTTTCACTTAGCACTTGAATTTTCCGGAACCAATTAAGAGCGTTAAGCAGGTGTTGCCTGCATTCAGAAATTTAAGTTTGGATCAAATCTTACTCTTTCTTGGTTCAGTAGCATTAGCTGACAACTCCTCTTCACAAACGCATGATCTAAGCCATGGGTGTTAAACATATGGCCTATGGGGCTCTGAGAGAGGATAGGATTTGGAGGGTGGGACTAGTAGGGGTGGGGCCAGACACCAAAATCCAGGGTACAGAACCCCACTGGGGACATCTGTTGGAGTACAGGGGAGAGCAAGTTTGACACCTTTGATCCAAACAATTTTGGGTTAAACAGGGAAAAAAATGTTATTTATCTTACAATATTAATATGTTAATATCCCATTAAAACTATTACGAAAATAAATCAACTCCTGACAGTGCTTTGGTTAATTTAATCTCATTTAGATTCTAAGAAAACAAATTCTGAGCTAGAAGTTTGAGTATTGATTATGCTACCTGACTCCGTTTTTGTTTTTGGTTCTTTGATGTCTTGCTGTTGCCTGCTTGCAGAGATGAACCAGATCACTTGTTATGAATGTGGTAAAGGTAAAAGTTGGAAGCAGTCTCTACTGCTTGCTTAAGTCTTATTTATACTTTTTCCTTCCATAGTTTTACTGTAGATGCAAGAAACACTTCTTTAGCATTTGACTAGATTCTTGACTGTTACTGACTAATATTGACTGTCATTCTTTCATTGGCTCAACACCTTTGGTGTTTTATTCAAGATGAAGCAGCTGAAGTTACTGCCTGCTACATTTGCAGTAGGGTGATAATTTTTCCTACACTAAATTATAATGTTGCCTTCATCCTTGTAGCAGCAAATTCTCAGACTACCTTCAAAATTTCAGCTTTTTTTCATTCATTTTGTAAGACAGCCTGTTAGTTTTATTACGTTTCAACAAGAATTAATTTCTGCTTCAAATATGTCTAAACACCCTTACTTTATATAGAACCTCTTAAGTTTTGAAAATGATTTTAAAAGTTAATGTGTTATGACATAAATTCAAGTAATGAAAAAAGTTATTGTCCCCCCTTCTGCCCCCTTTTTTTTGGAAGAGAATTTTGTGTTTTTGAATTTGGTAAGAAAATTACATAAGCACTGCCAGGTAATGAATTAATTTTCCAATTAATAGTAATAGTTTTATTCAATTGCCCTGTTACATTAGTAACCAGTTACTACAACAGATGACCTTACTATTGTTTGGAACAATAATAATAGTTTTGTCTTATAACAATGGCATTAGGAAGCTGTTATTGGACTTGTATTTACAATACAAATTATTTGCAGATAGCACCACAAAAACTTG